CTTCACGAACTATTCTGACCAAAGTGAAAGATAAAAGTATACTGTTTATACAGATAGCGACAAGGAGATATCTCTGCGTTCGTATCTGAGATTTAAATAGCAATTATCATATAAACAACAGTTCTACAAATCTTTCTTTTTTTATACCCAAGTGTGGGTGTATGTGTTGGTGCACGCTGAGAAAAAAATGCTGACGCTCACATCTATACCCTGTGATGAATAAAAAACAATCATTGAGTGATTATAATTAGCTGGTATTGATAACATTGAACCCATGACACCGTATTCTAATGTGTTACTATTTGTTTGACTTAATGAAGTTGCCATAAATCGAGAAAAAGGTGAAAGAACTAATATATCACCTTCTCCTTGTTGAGATAAATTAAAAAGAACTATTGGACCACCTTGTATTCCTGATTGAATGACTTTACTTGACGGATTCCACCAACCTGCATGTTTATTATCATCACCTGTCATTTCTCCTGAAGAAAAAAAGGAAGAAACTGAACTGAAAATTTTTTGAAAATCATAGTCTTACCTTCGAATGTAAAATAACCTCGTTGATCATTCTTATCAATTTGTTCAATATAAAACGATGGAAAAACTGTGCGAACATGATCCATGCCAAGAGGAACTGTGTTTGTCATAGTTAGATTACCAGTGTCCAAATGAAATGAAATTCCTGAACCGGAATACCAGTCACGTATATGGCCAATGATTTGTGTATGTATTCCACTACGAACAAGGTCATAGCTCAATTGGAAATCTCTATAATCACCTAGATTTGGATCAAAGCCACTTGTATAACTTATACCAGTTAATGGCAGAGAATTATCATCTGATGAAAACCATTTATTGTCTACATATATAGCTGTACGAGATGAACGAAGCCAAACACGATTACCAATAGTAACATTGTATCCTCCTTTTTGATCAATTAATACTTCTATATTACCCCAACCCCAACATCCAACTACAAGAAGAAGCAATTCTAAAAGATGCATCTTCACGAACTATTCTGACCAAAGTGAAAGATAAAAGTATACTGTTTATACAGATAGCGACAAGGAGATATCTCTGCGTTCGTATCTGAGATTTAAATAGCAATTATCATATAAACAACAGTTCTACAAATCTTTCTTTTTTTATACCCAAGTGTGGGTGTATGTGTTGGTGCACGCTGAGAAAAAATGCTGACGCTCACATCTATACCCTATCTCCGGCAAGAAATAAAAACTCGTAACGCAGTACTGCAAATTTTTTGAATATAAGAAAGTTGTGAAGACAGTTCAGTATAAATAATAAATCACGCAGTTTTTTATGTGTATCCTGACTTCAATCAGTTGATTAATTGACATTTAACTTTTAGGAGTTATATCGATAACCGAAATAGTTGATTGCTCTAAAACACTGAAAAAATCGTTAGGAGAATATTGATTCAGAATAAATAGTAGTAAAAAGTTCTCCTTTCTTTATTATATATCTTTTTTTTTGTAACTCCACATTCGTGCTTCATACTGCTTGTTCTGTTCTTTACTTTCATTCTCTTTTATGTACCTTTATTCTTAAAGAAAGAAACTATATGGGTATGTCACAATATAGAGGAGAAGGCAAACATCAGCTGTTGTTGTTCTTCTTCTTCTTGTTTTTCTTGCAGAAAACAATCGAATGAAAAAGAATAAAGTGCTATAAACAGTATCGTCCTTTCATTGATCCATAAATATTACTAGGGTCATGATATTGTTACCCTTTCTATGGTATTAAACGTCATTTATAGAATGTAGATGGTATTATCTTGTTGTATTTAGGATGCAAGAGTGAGTCATTCAATTCTCCTATAGCAGTACCAGAAGAGTCACTGAAAAAACTCCTTTCATATTGATAATTAAATAGTTTTGACATTCATTTTGCTTTTTTAAGATAAAAAATGGATTGTAATGAGAAACCTGCTGATATCTTGGAATGGAAGAAAATAGCTGCAGCCCAACAAAAGAATATCTATTTAATGTTCAGTGGTCGAACATGGGATTCGTACAAACCAGATGAATACGATATTCTTGCTATAAAAATAGGGGTGTGGGTGTGAGTGTGGGTGTGTGGTGATGGGTGTGGGCGTGGATGTGGTGGGATGGGTGCGGATGGAGAGAAAGCCTACACCCACACCCCACACCCACCCACACTCACATCCACTCTCACCCACACCCTCAATATCCACATGATCGTCATCAACTCACATTGGATCCCGTATCAATACAAATTCAAGAAGATCCCAACATCGTAACTGTTAACTGCCAAAAATATTCAGCAAGTCGTCGCAAACGGTCATTATTAGCTAGGAAAAGGCGTAATCATCAATCTAGCATTCGTCATAGGAAGAATCGTTACAACTATGAAATTACAAGATCATGCAATACAACTATTGAAATCGTCAAGAAAACATTAAAACAATTTGATCTCAAATATCTTAACATCAACATTGTTAAATCTACACTATACATTGGTATCAAATCTAGTCAATTACAAGATCAATATGAACAAGTACTACCATCAGATATTTTTCTATAACACAAGGTTTTTTCTGTAATTGTTTTTTCTTTCCTTGTTTTTTTGTCTATGTTATGTACAGTACTCAGTTATATGTTAAGTTACATTATTAACTTCTAACTTTCTTGTTATTATTTTTTTGTTATTTGTTTTTCTTTTTCTCTCTCTTCGTTCGTTCTTTTGTAAGGGGGAAGGTGTTATGATCGCCATCTATTATAGATGGACGATCCTCCTCCTTCTTCTTCTTTTTTTNAACTATTCTAATATAAAGTATCTCGAAATTGGAAAATCTAAAACCCTAAAAGAATTATGCTTTTCAAACGCTATTTGGAAACGAACAAGACATCCGAAGAATGACTGTAAAAACTCTATCTGATTTCATTTTGATTGTTCTTTTTCATATTCAAAGAAACATTTTCAAGTTAATCCTTCTCAAGATCGAAGTTACATAAGATATGAAACATAAAGACGTATGCCTCTTTTAAAAAATAGAAAATAATAGAAATGAATTTAAAAAAACTCACGATGCAATACTATAAAGATGCATTGTAACTCTAAAAAAAGTAAATCTTACAAAGCACTACATAAATTGTGTGCTTACAATCAGATAAACAAACTATCAAGTATAGAAAAAATTGACATATTGATTGAAAGCAAAACTACTGCGTAAACGTTGTTGCTTTTTTCGGTTCTCTATCTTTACTGTTTCATGTTGTTTTTTGCTGTTCTTTGGCCTTGCCATATTTTGTCACACTTACATTCGATAAACTGTTGTTGTTAAAACGATCGTACATATTGGCTTGAAAATGAAAAGCAGAACAAAATAGGGTGTGGGTGTGAGTCTTGATTCTTTTGCGCGTTTGAAAATTGATATTCCCAGATGCGGGCATAGACTCACAGCCACAGCCACATCAAGACGCCCATACAGGCACAGGCACACCTTGCATTCACAGCCGCACATCCACACCCACACATCCTCATCCACGCCCACAACCACACCAATACGCTCATACAGGCACACCTCACACGCACCCACACTCACACCCCACACCCACAACCTCAGAACAATTACTTGAGGCAATGCTAATTTTCCTAACTTTGCTAAGTATCCATCCCCGAATTTCAGAAAAAGTATTTGAGTCAATGCTAATGTCGCTGACTTTGCTAACTTTGATAAATATCCATCTGCGAATTCCAAAAAAATAGTTGGAGGATGTGGGTCGGTGTGGTTGTGAGTGTCGGCGTGGGGTGTTTGGAGTGTGGATTTGGATGTAGGCGTGAGGTGTGTGGGATGTGAATGTGGGTTTAGGGGTGCGTCACTTACGCATAACACCCACATCCAGAGCCGCACCCATCCACACCCACATGCACAGCCGCACTAACCCACATTCCCACTGCCACGCACACTCACACTCGCACCCACACATCCTAAACCCCGGACACCCACACCCTCTTTTCTTTTTATCTCTCATTTATTTTCGTGTTATAATATTTATTCGTCGCCAATCTCATAATCATGACGTCGCGGTGAAGCGAAGGCAGGAACGAAATTTAATCGCTTTCCGGCGAATTTTTATTAACTTTGCTTTATTAACTATTCTTGGGTTGTCAAGCACAATCTTCTTAATCATGCGAACCGTTACCAGTGCGGATTACCCAGAGGTCAATCGGGTCTTGTTGCTAGGTGGTGCAGTGTCCGAGGTAGTATTAAGTATAGAAACAACGCCTATTCGAATGAGACCCAATACTATTAATCAATAACTTCTTTTTAATGACAAGATAGAACATCGTATTTTTTTGTGGAAGAATTCGCTCCTCTCAATTCAAAACTGTTTTCTATTTACTTGTCGGTCTTCGAAAAAAACATATCAATATTTACGTGTTTTCACAATGAACTATAATATCCATTACTTGGAAACTATCTTGGGGCTGTGGGTGGGGTGTTTGTGGGTCTCAATGTGAGCAAAAAACAGATCTATGCTTACACCCACACTCGCACCCTCTATTGGTCAATGCTCAACGAATGCGACTTCGAGACAAGTTTGGTACAGATTCTAGTTTTCCGCCTCAGAAAACCTTCGATTATAGCCTATATGATCGGAAAATAGAGTTCTGATTGTAGATCAATTAGAGCGTGCACAAAAACAGAACTGATTCTTACCTATTTATCATTACAATGGGTGAAACAGTCTTCTTCTTTCCTAATGTTTTAGATAGCATTTTGTAGCTCTTAAAATTCTATATCGAATGATATATAATAGTTAGCGTTCTATTTGACTAAGATAGGAAATTTCTTTTACGAAAGTAGCGATGGGTCGATTCTCCCATGATAAGCCACAGGGAAAAATCAGTATTTTTGCAATAACTCAGAAGGAGCTCGGCTGATCTTGCTCATCTTCGAACTCAACAGAGACACTGTTGAGACTGAACTGTGTACAAAATTTCATCGCGATCGAACTCTCCTTTCAAAAATTTTCGTGTAAAGGATTGGTCAGACACACTGACCGATCCTAGAATGTATTTGTTAAGTAGACAAAAATGATATATGAGAAAGAAAAGAGCAGAATCCTTCGCATAGATATGAGTGGCTATCGAGCTCGGATGATGCGAGACTGATTCGAATCCAATGCGAACCGATATTTTTTTTGCTCTGTTAGTTTATTTTTTCATTAAAGTTTGTCAAGAGTTTTTGCCTTGCAGTCCGATATACCTTCTCGAAATCTGATCGTGGACAGGGGTAATTCACCACGACAGATTCAAATATGTTATTTCTATTATACGAGAACGTATCTTTCGAAATCAGTCCGACGTGACATGTGATGAACTATTAAGAAAATTACATACAAATATACTATTATTTTAACGATTCTAATAACTGTACAACGTTCAAAATTTATACATGAAGAAAACAGCAATGAGAAAATTCATCAAGGAAGATTTTAGAAAATGAATCCCATTTTTAGTTACACTATGCATTTCTTCGTAAAAGTATTCATACTTCAGATAAAATTATACTGTAAAATGAAAACATGGTTTCTTTCGGAATCACTATGATATAATCCTTGGCACAGTTGTGATAAATACATTCATATGGAAATATAAGAATGATTAACGTAGACAAAGTCTTTATCATTCATCGATATTAATAAAATGTTTATTGATTTAGAAAAAAAGCAAACCTTGACCCAGTCTACCACAAAAAGAAAGGGAACCAACATCACTGAAATTTTAGTAAATATGACAAAAATTTTTCTTTCTTGTTCTTATAACATTTTTAGTTTTATTTTTCTAAAAGGAAAACACTAAATCAGTCAGCCACTGTGAACAGTGTGTCATAATTACTTGCCGATTCATACTATTAGTCTTTTCAGAAGGATACCACCCTCTAAGCTTGAATTACTTCTGAATGAGGTATTAAAATGAAAAAAGAATGAAAATTCTTTTCTTTTTAATATTTATTCCGTAATGATTTACTCTTTTTAAGAAAAACGTTTTCACTGATTTGAAAACTTAAAAGAATTGATTTTTTTTATGTTCACGTGTTAATGAAAGAGTAGATTGTGAAAAAACTCAATCTCATTGTTGAATGTTTGAAATTGAATTTTGTAATGCTTGCATGAATGTTTCCACATCATGCGACTTCATATTTGGATTTCATTTTTCTGTTTCTTGTAAAGAAAAAATGAATGACAACAACAATTATAATTCCAAAGTATTCTTTTTTCTGATTTATCTCGCATCAGTGCTATTCATCAACAGACATCCACACAAAATAATGAATTATAAATATTTCTACCTAAATGACATGTTATTCCTTTCGAGCAATTGATAAAACCAACAATACAGCATCGAAAATTGAAGTACGACTACATTTATTATTGCATAATAAATACTTTATCTTTGTTTGTGAAAAATGTTTATATTTCACTACGACTTAAAAGTCTATAGTATATCAAAGAAATCATGTTTTTTTGTAGTCTAAAACACGTCTTTGAATATTGAAATATATTTCTTTTTACTTCTCGAGTTAGAATATAGTTTTAGAACACTTATTTATTATTTTTCTATCAAATTTGATAGATTTCGAAGTAATCTATAAAAATATAATTTACATATAAACGAATCTTCCCTTGTGATCAACTCTATTGTTATTTTATGCGCATTGGAAAAAAATGTTGGCCTGCCAGGTAAATGCTGCTGTCAATCCACACATTCTCGTCATTGCAATACGTGTTTGATCATGATTAATTATATTTCTCTTGGTAAACTGTAATAAGCAACATTGCTTGTTGATGCGTCAAGGACGGCATATGTTTTTCTATGACACATTTCTTATTCACATTTTCTGTTTTGCTTCCATTGTGTGTAAATGCAGAACGTATTTTATGTGCTAGACGTTAAAGAGAATAATTGCCTGTAAAAACTTACAAAGAAACACTACCAATTCAATTACTAAACTACGAGAAACAAAAATATGAGTTATGCAACAGCTTATGCTCTTATTATACTCGCTGGTAATACCAATCCTGATGTTGCAACAATGTCAAAAATTCTTGGAAGCGTTGGAATCGTTTGTGATAATACAAAAGCACAAAAAGTGATCGATACGTGTAAAGGAAAAACTATTGATCAAATTTTTGAAGAAAGTATCAAAGAAATATCAACTTTATCAGCTGGTGATACAGCTGTTGGATCCACTGTTAGTGCTGGTAAAGTTCCTGCTGAAGAAGAAGAAGACATAGGATATGGTTTATTCGATTAAATCAGTTACTTAAACAGACAAATAACACAATGCCATCATCATTCGTATTTGTTACGATGGGTTTTCCTCCTTATGTGTGTCTTTTCAATTAATACTAATAAAGAAAAAGCCAGAAAATAACCCAACTTTAACATTAATAAATATAACAACCTTTTCTTTTGTTATTTTGGAAACAAACACTCTGATCAAATAGATGATGTGATGACGAAAATGTGCGAGATAATGGCACCATTGACTAGCCAGAGTAAAATCGTATGGAAAAAGAAATGTGAACAATATGGTTAGGCTCTTGTCATCGCGCTATTATTCGGATTCCGATAGATTCAGAGTATATTACAAAGTGCTTTCTTTTGAAAGATGTATGTGAAAATATTGGAACCAACTTCTCAATAGTAATGTCGTTTGTTGATAGACACGACGGAAATTGTTATTTCGCTCGTTGTTAGAAATGGATTGAACTCAAGATAATTGTCAGATCGTATAGTACAGTTAGCTAACTGTGCTGAGTCTGTTTAAAAAAACAATCCCTCCAGGGTAAGAGAACATGCGAACAGAAAATGTGTGGAACACTGAGGATAGCTATTAAATTATCGATAGTATAGATTATAGTCGTTCTTGGGTGCTGGGGATGAGAACATATCCATACCAACATCTACAAGCAACACCCCACACTCACACCTGCCCTAGATGTCTGGAGTGATATTGACATACCCTTATCATACTCATTTCTTAATGTGCATATAAAAAAAAGACAACGAAAAACATCAGTGTAAAAGGTTGAGTATTCGTCGACATTGAATTACACTAGAAGCATTACAAAGCATTTGTGATTAGCGTCAGAAATATGAGAACGGAAGATCAGTCGTTCAGCGATTGATTAATTTAGAAAAGGAACTTACAAAAGAATCGGCTATGAAGTTATGCAGCGATCGTGCTTTGTCTGGTTTATTTTATCAATAGTATACTACTGGTCACCATCACTATGAATATGCTTTACATGCATATTTGGATCTGTTACGATCTATTCTACCATTAGTTCCTCGGTGAAGATTTTTATGTCAATTCACCAAGCATTGCGCTGAATGTGCAGCATTGAAGTTTTTATGTATTCTTTGTTTGCATCCAGTCTCGGAGAATGAAGTGTACAATTTATTTTGTGATTTGTTATGTGATATAAATGGTGATATATTAACTCGAAAATATATTCGTCATATGGCCATAATGATTCGACAGGTATACAAATGTACAGACTGACCATTTCCATATTCACTCAATTGTTTAAATTTCCATGAAGACGACGAAGCTCTACAGAAGACACTTGCGGTCGAAGAGCTTTTTTCATCAGATGAATTCTGTAGATTGATGAAAAAGAATCTGACAGCAGGACTTCTCGTTGTTTACGAAATGCTTAATAACTTAGGCGATCGTTTCTATCGATCAACGCTTCTCTATAAATTATTACCAAAATATGATACTCTACAATCTGAAACGCAATTTACTCAATGAATTTCGTTTGTTTCCTATGAAAAGATAGTTTCTCAAAGAGTTTTTGTTTTGCTTGTCTATTCTATTAAAATTTGAGTGAATCCTAATATATTTTATGCACGGTAGTAGATTTTTTTGTGGTATTGCAAATAAATTGAGATTTGATATACGTTGACTAAAGAGGATGATTATAACTAAGCAACTTCTCATAAAATCAGTGGCACTAACAAAGGATAAAAAAAGATTCAAAATTTATTCATGGTATAATGAATATTAAAAAAGTGCACACAAGGGTCTAGGTGTAAGTGTGGGTGTAAACATAGATCTGTTTTTTGCTCACACGCAAACCCATACGACACTCACACTTCACACCCACACCTACGCCCTTAATTTTTCTGACAAACTATTTAATGATTTTTGTTTTATTTAATTGTCTCAGTTTTTTCTTTTTTTTAATACCCTTCTACTTTCATCTAAATATTTATTTTTCATTTTATATTTATAATCGTAAATGAACGTTCTCGATGAAGTTTTAATATTTTACTTGAGCAAAAAGAATTCGTTAGGTGTAATGAAATTTTATTTTTTGTCAAACATTTTAAATTCAAACACATTTAAATTTTATTCGGTTTATGGTCTTATTGAATCGATTTCTAAAAATAAAAATTTGTAATTGGCAGATTGATTTGTTCGTTAGAAATATAGGGCGATCTGTTGTCATAGGATTTTTTCGTAACATCTTCAACCAAGTTTATGAAAATCGACTCCCAATTCTAATAATTTCTCGAAAGCAGCTCCAAAACTCTTGCTAAAACGATAATAATCTGTTGCGTATTCTACTACATATCTTTTAAATCGAGGATCTTGAATCAGCGCTAAATCAGTTGGTAACATCATGAGAACTTGTGTCTTAACATCTTCGAACTGTTTTGGACCACTCCATTGACGTTCTTGCCAATGTTCTTGTAATAAAGAACGAAAAAATTGGTTTGAAAATGTATTCGGTGTAGCCGTCCAATGTCCATCATAACCACTTCGATCTATGTGACATCCACCCATAGAATGCGCACCAATTAAAGCAACAATTTCACTATCATTGAAACCCATTCGATAGAAAATATCTCGAATATGTTGAACTCCTTGAGCAGCATCTGGTAATCGACCATCCGGTGGTGATTGTTTCCCATCTCTATAATCCACTCGTCCATGTCGCCATCTAATAATCGGTCCGCCCATTTTTTCGAGAGCAACGACACCGGCGAGCGTATACAAATCTGCATAGGTTAAGCCCGGATACGCATGATAAACACTTTCCAAACGTTCTCGAGCTATGTGCAAACCTAGAATAAGAAAGTAAAAGAAATAAACATTTTCAATCAGTTGTTATGGAACACATTTAAGAAATGATTTTTCGTTTCTCGAAAAACTCAAACGACTGAAAAAAATTTCAATTTTCAAATTGATAAGATATTGATTAGTAGATAAAAGTAAAAAAGTACTGCTAAAATTAAAACTCTTTTTTTTGCAAATAAAGCATACATTTTGAAAGAAAGAACATTTTCTCTATCGAACTTATATTTCAGTTTTGACACAAAAGTTTTGTGAAATACGATCTCAAAGGAGTGTTGAAGTGTTTAGGGGCAGAAATTTGCACCCCTCCTCTCCCTCCTCCTACAGACAGTGACAGACACTCACATGACCCATCACAGACAGTGACAGACATCTTAATTAATTAATTGATCCTCACAGACCGCGACAGAGAAACGGTAGTTCTAAAACATTAGATAAACGGTTAGCTACAAATGTATTGCAAAGAAGTTGAGCAAAACAATTTCGATAGTAGCAACAGATCTATCGTGTTTCACATTTTTAATCCGGCAAGGGATTGCGATAACAGCTTTTTATTTAGTAAACATTAAAACTACGAAATAACGGATGATTCAGATTAAACTGCTGGTTTGTGACAGACTTTTTTTCTTCAGTTAGATTCAACTGAAAATTTTGATTCTGATGCTTAAAGATAAAGAATTTCGAATAGACTTTATTGATATGTTCTTTTGGAAAAACGCCTGTACCATTGTTCTCTGGAATTAAAAATGTTAGATGACAGAAAAACACTACTTGCTTGTCAATTAACTACAATAAAATAACATTGTTATTTGCTCCATAGTTATTATATTTACTATTCAAAAACACGATGAAAAAGTCTTGAAACGTAGCTGTTTTTAGGTAGAAGCTCGCGTTCATAGACTGAGTTCGTCAATCTTGACTCTTGTCTACAAAGTCCAGCTAATTATCTAGTTTTGAAGCGTTTTCACGGCTATGAAAACATTTCAACATCGTTATCCCGTTAGAGTAGAAATCAATCCTCGTGAATGAAAACATCTTGCAGAGCTTGAAATTCTGCATCTTTGTACATAAAAAGAAAATTTTTTGTGGGTCTTTGTATTAAGGCGATTGGTTGAGAAAAGTAGGATGCCATGATTCGTGAACATGTTTTTGATATTTTTTAGGAGAACTAACTAAGATTATGGAGCTCAATACATCAAGAGATATATAGAAAAATTTCTACATTTCTTACTGGAAAATTGGAAGTTTAAAACTAAATCTAAGCGAGAAATTATCAATTTTTACGTAAATCTGATTTTTTAGTTGAGCAAGTGTTGTTTTTCTGTCATGGAACATTTTTAATTCTAGAGAAAAAAGATGTAGATGTTATTCAAAACGAACAAATCAATAAAATCTATTCGAAATTCTTTATCTTTTAGCATCAGAGTCAAAATTTTCAATTAAATCTAAATGAAGAAAAAAGGTCTGTCAAAAGCTGTCAATTTAATCTGATTCATTCGTTACTTATAAAATTTATTAAATCGATAGTGAAACAATATTCCCATATTGACATGTAAAATAAATAGAATCAAATAGGTTTATTTCTTTTGATACTAGTCGATATTTAATTCATAGATATTGGCAAATTAATGAAACGAGGCTGATATTTTCGGTTTATAACTATTCAATCATATTCTCTTTCCAAATGTTAAAAAGGATAACTCTTGATTTGGTATGTTCTCTTTCTTTTTCGTTCATCTTTGATATCAATCTGAAATCACTTTCTTTATTTTGTCTTTATGTTTTCTTTAAACTCTATTTTCTATGATTTGAAGTAATATCAAACATGATTGTGTTCATGATCAATATATAAAACACGTCGTTTTTTGATAACTTTTGTTTGTTTCTTTCGTTGATGAATCATTCGAAAAACAAATAAAAAATGCAAGCTGTATCAATAAATTCTCAAATTTGTATTTAATATTCAGAAAGAATGTTTAAAGAACAGAAGCAAAAACTGAGTATCAATGATTAAAAAAATATTTTATTAACTGAAATATATTTAGACAACATTTATTATTAGTGGCTATGAGAAGAAACATACGAGGAAAGACAAATGACATTTTGAACATGTTTTAGCAGTATATATATGGTGTGAAAATTCTACAAACTGAATCGAATCATAAATTATAGTTGTGAAATTAAGATTTGAACAACAACGATATGTGATTCACTTCTTGAAATCTTATTCGACCTCTTCGATAGGGAACAGCAGTTCGTTTAATATGTTCTCAAATGTTGAACTTGAAATATTCATACTCATATAATTACAGAGAATCTATTCAATTCTTTGAAATATTTTGCTATCTAAATTTTTAAAAGGCATTTCAAACTTTTGTTAACCGACAAATTCTTTAGTTCTCTACGTATACACACAAAATTTTAATTCGTCGTGAATTATTGTGTCATGCACTCCAGCAGAAAAATNCATTCCAAGGTGTCCGAAAGCTTTTCAGTCGGAGTTTCACGCATCTTGTAGCCCTTAGTGAGCTGTGTCTATGGTAAAAAAAGTTCGTGTCCATGGCTTGTTCCTAGCGAGATCTCGATATTTTAATAAATTTTCTTCGTAGGACCCTACTTTTCCAGTGCAACCATAGTTTCGAATTTTGACATGAAAGTTTGTCCACATAAAGTTCTCAACTAGACTAGCTTGCAAAAAAAATTCAGAATTTTTCGACAGAGTCTCTTCAGGATATGAAGACTTCAAAAAATGCATTCTGTATATAATATCTGAGGAAAAGAGCCTATTTCTTGGAATCTTCATATCCTGAAGAGACTCTGTCGAAAAATTCTGAATTTTTTTTGCAAGCTAGTCTAGTTGAGAACTTTATGTGGACAAAGTTTCATGTGAAAATTCGAAAATATGGTTGCACTGGAAAAGTAGGGTCCTATGGAGAAAATTCATTAAAACATCGATATCTCGCTAGGAACAAGCCGTGGACACAGCTCACTAAGGGCTACAAGATGCGTGAAACTCCGACTGAAAAGCTTTCGGACACCTTGGAATGTTCCCTTGTCAGACGATCTCCACTATTGTAAGAGCAAACCATGGTGTTGTTCGTTCCATATGAAAAAGAGCCCATTCAAACTCCGTGATCGGTCCGGACATCACCATATTTTACCCTTACAATAGTGAAGCGAAGCTTGCTGAAATCTGATTCCATAGGGTTAATTTGATCTTAACATTATATAAGAATGTGCTATGGGGAAAAACGTTTATCACCACTGTGGCCAGCTCGTCGAGCTCTATCGACTGGTATATCTCCCCTTCGAATCCGCAGTTAACACCTTAAGAGGTTCCCTCGTAAGTCAAGGTCAATTCTTAAGTTGTGAGACCAACTCAAATATGTTCCTCAATACATTTGTTGTTACTTGATACATCTTTGCCGTTTACTAAAACAAGTGATAATAGAATTTTAATATTTGCAATTGATAAACACCTTCATATTCTTCTATTCATACTTGCCTTTCTTTGTAGCGATATTTACAAGGTTATGCCTGTAGCATTCTATTAATTATAGAAATTACACATATAATATAGAGATTATATGCTCCCGTCATTTAACTGTTATTACAACGCAAAAATGCAGCCACGTATCGCCATTTAATCAAAGAAATGCTTAAGTATGCCTCACAATTCACGTCGTAATTTATAATGTTTAATTTTCAAAGAAAAAACTTATATTAGTGAATATGAAGAAAGCTTTCCAAAAGTTATACTATCTGGCTGCTATTCATCTCTACAAAAAAGTCGCCTTTATACACCATAAGTATTATACCATTTATCATAAAGAGACAATGCTAGTTTTACGAATATTCTTCAATGCAGTCAACAGGATGCCAAACTGACACAGTTTTCGCACACGATACTGGTAAATATGAGACATTGGCATTTTTGGGAAACAGATAATGTTGTTAAAGCATTTGAAAGTTTTTCAATGGGTTTTACTGAAAAAAAAAGAAATGATCGATTATTTCTAAGAGATATATTGGTAAATTTTTCATTTCACAAATGTTATTGTTCGATAAAACTTCTTTTCGGACAGCTACAGGCAAATCAGAAAACAAGAAAGGATATGTTTGATATCAATTTTCGGAACATGCACAATAGAACTACTTAATCATCGATGAGAACAAATAACTCGACCGAAGCATATGATCCCTGAATCAGATTAGTTTTGTAGTATGCTGCTCATTCAGCATTAGATTTCCTTGCGAAAATTAATGGACGAAGAAAATGTTAACTATCTTGATATATTACAAATAATTTCTAGTCAACCACCCAAATAGTAGAAGAAAATATCAAGGCTTCGAAAGATGCTTATTAAATCTTAACTTCACACCTAATTCAGATTTTCTAACTCAAATTCGATTGAATTGGACATAATATTTCATTATAATTCTTTTTACTAACACTTTTTTTTGCTAAATACAATACTTATTTATTGATCTCTCAATAGACTTTATATTCATCTTGTTTTTTTCACGTGCTTAACTTCTCAGCGTTGAACATTCTCGTGCTACAGTTTCCTCGTTCTTCTCTTTCTGTGCTCATGTTGTAGTCCACAATGTTTTGCTATTTCTTTTTTAAACTTAGAAGCATAAATGGTTAGAAGATTAATGAATAAATTTCTGGAAAACTGTCTAATCTTGAGTTTTCATATGTGCTCCATTTTTCTACACCTCCATAGAGGAAATAGTAATGGAATTTTTCGTAAAGAGGTTTCTTGGCAGTTGTACGTCTGATTACATTAGGCGATATATCGATCGAAAGTGAACAGAATTTAGTTCACAAATGAAGTTAAACTCTTTTATCAGTTTTGTTCAGAATTGAAGAATATAAAGAG